ATATTCTTAGTGTAGCCATGGATTAAGACATCTTTAGATCCATCCTCAAGAAATTATTGTTGGTGAAACTTGCCATTCATTGAGAAAAATATCCGGTACATTCATCCATGATATCTTTGGCTCTGCTACATAATATAAGCACACTTAAGCCTCCCATGTTCTAATTAAATCAAAGATAGTGTTCCAGTTGATGATTTTGTTCCTTCATGCCCTTTCTTTAGTAAATTCTGCAAAATAAAGCATGTGTTATGGTTATAACTTATCACAAACATGTTAGGCCTGTTTGTTTGTCACCTTATATTTGATTGACCAAATTCACTTATATGTATATAATTTCAATGAAGAAATATGTCAAAGTGAAGCCTATTAAAAAGCTTAAGATGAGAGTTTTATCGAATCCAAATTAGGCCCATGCGCTTCCTTGGGCGGGAAAAGGGTGTGAAAGAGAGCAGAGCCATTTGGAAATTGGCAGTTGTCTTAAAATGATATTTTACATATTCAATTTTATTATTTCAAGAAAACCTGAAAAGGATCACATGCCATGAATATAATGTCTGTTCTGCTGAATTTTTATTGTGGTAGTGATGGAATTTGATGCCTTGATCAAATTCCTGGTTGTGCACGTCGGTTCTTTTGACAATTTCAACTCTATTGACTTCACCAATGTTATCTCAAGTTTCTCAATTTCTAAGAGAACAATTTCCTGTGCTTTCTCATTTATATTTACACTTGTTGCCTGTAGAACCATGGTCTGATTCTTCCACTAAAGGACAAAGATGCAAGTCTGAAAGTGCCCTACCCAGGATATGCTAGTCAAGTTAATTGGACAAAATCCGTTTTTCTCTAAACCCTCTCAGTACCTGTTTTCTGTCTCTCGTCTGTTAGCATTCTCATTTGATATGAGATAAGGACACAACTGAAAGCTGCCATCTAACATATTTGTGGTGTCAAATCTATGATTTGGCTGGACCTGCTCAGAATAAATAAAAGTAAAGGGTTTCCTCCAATTTCATAAAAGAAAAGATTTCTTGCTGTACAAAATCTATTGGTATATGCTAAATAAATAGGGACTACACATGAATCTCTATCATGGAATTTTGGATCTACATCTTGGTAAAGTAAGAAATTGCTAGTAATTAGCAGAAACTGTTTTACCTGTCAACTTGAAAAGAGATTCATTTTTTTCACATCAGGAGAATGTTGACATGGTTGGCAACCACATGGAACTACAGGGAGTAAAAATGCACTACCCTGTGTATATCCAATTTACAATGGGTACTGGCAACTATTATACACAGGTAGCAACAATAGGAAGCATAGTAGCTATTATCTTACACCTCTTATTTGGTAACTGTGTCATAATATAAACATGGGGAGCAGAAAGACGATATCCAAGCTTTTCAAAATTCACCTTAAATTATGTGCAATGGAGAAGCTTTTGAGACCTCGAATAAATCTGCTTCATGTCTAGTTGATGAAAGGAGAATATTAAATGAAGTAATTTCAGGCCTCTTTCTTATGTTTGTGTGCCATCCAATTATTGATGAATTGCATATATGATGCTTGTAGTGAGGATGAAGATAAGATTACTGGATATGAAATAGGTGTACAGATTTATTTGAGTTCTGTTATAAGATCAAGAAGATATAGATGGATGAATATTTAGGAGGGTAATTAGTTGGAGTGACCCGAGTGCTTAGAAATAAATACCAGAAAATCTCGTACTGTTCCTGCACATATGCAGTTGATACTAAAATATTTAAGAGAAGTTATTGATGTGTTGTGTTATGAGGTTTACGTCATGTGCTTATTACGAGGTTTACTTCACGTTAGCATTAATGTGTATTGGAGTAATGCTCAGTATAGGCAAGTTTGAAAGTATGCGGAGTAATCCAAAAAGAAGGTTAGAATCTTGTCATTGATATTTGATTAGGGATGTGTATGCTGGGTATGTAGGTGCAGTTTTAATAAAAGGAAAAAACGAAAGCGGGAGGGCTGCTCCTTGGCTTAAGATCAATCATATTGATTGAAAGCCTTTGCTGTAAATTAAAATGAACAGTTTGAAAAATAACAAATTTCTTTGATTGTTTGAAGCAGACAAATGGAAGTATGGATTCTAATGAAACTTGTTCTGCCACCTGATGAGGAAATGGTGTTTTGAGACTAAAAGAAAAAACACTACTTATTGTTGATCCATTAAACAAGGGTCCTAAGAGGTGAATTGTATACAAACCTAACATTTGCTAACATTTGCACAAAGTCGCTGCTCTTAAACTCGAACTTTCATTCTCACATTTGGCAGCATGAGGTTTTAAGGGAATGATAAACTGTGGACTGAGGAAGGCGACTTCTTGTGTAAAAGAATAAATCTAAAGAGCAGTCACTTTGTACAAAAAATTAGCAGAAGTGAAGTTTGTCTCCAGTCTTCCCCTACCAGCACCCAATTTAGGTGTGGGTTGAGTAATGGATTTTTTTTTTAGTTTCAAGGCAACAAGAAAAATAATTTTTTTTGTAAAGCATATTTAGATGCGCAATGGTTGTTTGAAATGATTTAATGTGAAACCAGCTTTATTTGTGAATTCACAATCTCATATGCTTGCCTTTGGTAAATTTGTCGAGTCTCTCCAGGTTTAAGGACATTGGATAATGGTAAATTTTAGCGAGCTAGTTCCTAATTTTTTTTTTGTTTCATGTCATTGAGCTCATAAAGTTCCACGTATATTTTCTTAGAATGCACTTACAGCTAATCGTACATGCGACCCAGTTCCGAATTGATTTACCAGAAAGTTTTAAAGCACTTTTGGTTGCAGTGTGATGGAAACACATCTATGATAGTTTATAATATCTGCACTATGTAATAACTAATAACAGTATAATCAGTGTTGGTAGCCCAACACAAATACAAGGTATCAAAAGGAGCAACCTAAAAGAAGTGGTCATTCTACTATCTGTTGTGTCTAGAAATGGAGGACTCTGGCACTTAAAATCTGTAGATATTCTGACTTATCAAGAAAAATGAAGGAAATATTCTCTAGGTTCCAGTTCTAGTGTGCACTAGTTTTAGCATCTAATTGGAGGTCCTTTAACCCTTTTTCCTCTGTACATCCTTATTAAAATGTCTATTGTATGTACACTTTTGTCTCTGTAATTTTCTCTCTCTATTTGTTTCTCTTTTAATATTTTTCTCTTTGTGCTATGAATTTCTATTGCTGTCATGAACATTCATGTACTGAACCTTCTGTTTGTTGCTTTCATTTTTGTTTTGATTGTATTTTTAAATTTAATGTTAATGGTGGTTGTTTAAAATATGTAGGGATTAACCAGTATGTTTTGTGTATCATCATACCAACTCCAATACCTTTTAGTTTTTCGTAAACCAAGAAATTAGAACAATTCACGGAATCACTATTTTTATTAGATGGCTTTGTTTCTCTGATCACTTCCTATATGTTTTTTTTTGATTTAGGGGTTGGGGGTGGGAGGGATGGGAATGGGAATGGGAATGGGAATGGGGTTGTTATGAAACTAGGAGTAGCCATCTTTCCGCACACACCTGCTACCCATGTCCCTCTACTAGGACTTGAACCCTGCTCCTTCCCAGGAAAGGAGAAGGACATACCACCTGAGCTACAAAACTCCTGGTCTCAGAGTACTTCCAGACTGAAGTTGTTAACTAGGGTTTGTCCTGCCTGTTGGGGTGGTAGGAGGGATGGACTGGACATTGACCTAACTTCTGGCATTCTTTTCTTTTTTTTTTTTCCTCGGTAAATCTCTGGCATTCTTTTGCTCAAAGTGCTTGCCCTTGAATTTAAAATTGCCTTCTTGTATTACCATTCACATCTCTTGGAACATAAGGTTTCATCCTGTATGTCATTTAATTTCTTGAATCTGTTTTAACAGTAGGATGAAATCAATACTCTCATTCATTTTTCTCTACTCACAGAAAATTTTGCTGGAAATAACTTACTACCTGAAAATAGACAATCTCACATTTATTAGTAGTATTTACACTTTTTTAGGGGTTTTTAGTAAATTTAAACCCTCCCTTTGTAGCCAATTTGGAAACACTGCTCGACGACTATGATTATTTTTGTTATCTTGTAGTGTAAACATTTTGTAGAGAGCAATGACCTCTCTAGTGCATAATTGTATCACTGGGAAACTATATTGTGCATTCTTAGTAGTTGTAAAGATGATGTCTAAAATCTATGAAAAGTTTAAAATCACAAAACCACCACCTTAGCACCTTGAATGGGTGTTTCAGCCATCTATTGCATTATTAGTCAACATTAGACGGTGTCACTTTGTAAATTTGTAGTACAAATTCCATTGAAATTGAGTTTTAGGTCAAAATTCCTTTGTAGTACAAATTCCATTGAAATTGAATTTTAAAATCACAAAACCATCACCTTAGTACCTTGAACGGGTGTTTCAAGTTGTAAATTTGTTTTATTTATGACAGAGAAGTTATATATTTTGGGTCAAAATTTTTAGAAACACAAATTAGGTTTGTAAAAACACTTTTTCTTTCAGATACCACTTGGTTATCTTTTTTTCCTTTCCTTTTTTTTTTTTTTTTTTTTGTTTTTTTTAAGCATCTTCAATTTTGAGTAGAGTAAACTAGATGGTGAATCTTAATCAAATTTTGTGGTACTATTAAGCTGTATTAAGCTGGAACCATCACATCCTAGCATCTTTAAATAATAGAAACCAAATCTTACTTGGATCTTTTTCAATTTGTTTAATGGATTTTGGCTTGGGGATTTTAGCAAAAGGCTGAATGAAAAGTTGTTTTCTTCTTCTTATTCTTTTTTGCCTCCTTTTCAAGTACTATCTGGTGTTAAATCTTTTTCTTGAAAATGGTTGAGGTTTCATCCTGGTTGTTTCTCAGGGAAAAGTTTTAAAAATTCTTATCAGGAAAACAAAAGGCTCAAACCCTCAAGAATGAACTTTTTACTTTTTAAGAATGCTTAACATCTTTGTTTTCCTCCTCTCTGCAGGTCCTTTATCTTCAGTGAAGGGTTTAAATAAGTTCGAATCTGTGTTTAGGATATCCAGAAAAACTTTCGACTATATCTGTTCACTCGTGAGGGAGCATATGACGGCCAAGCAAGCAAACTTCATGTTTTTAAATGGCAGGCCGTTGTGTTTTAATGATCAAGTAGCTATAGCTTTAAGAAGGCTATGTTCTGGTGATTCACTAATAACAGTTGCTGATTCATTTGGCACAAATCACTCAACTGTATCTCAAGTGACCTGGCGTTTTGTGGAGGCCATGGAAGAAAGAGGGCTTTGCCACCTGCAGTGGCCTTCCACGGAACAAGAAATGACAGACATAAAATCCAAGTTTGAGAAAATGCGAGGCCTTCCGAATTGTTGTGGTGCGATCGACACAACTCATATCACGATGTTATTGCCTCAATCTGACCTGGCAAACAATGTGTGGCTTGATCGTGCAAAGAAACACAGCATGATCTTGCAGGCAATTGTGGACCCTGAGATGAGGTTCCGGGACATTGTCGCTGGATGGCCAGGGAAAATGAACGACTCCTCGGTCCTACAAAACTCAAATTTCTACAATCTTTGTGAGAAAGAAGAGAGGTTAAACGGGAACAGAATGAAGTTTACTGAAGGAACAGAATTAAGGGAATATATAGTTGGGGATTCAGGCTTTCCCCTACTGCCTTGGCTTGTCACCCCTTATCAAGGCAGAGAACTTTCAGAGTCCAGAGCTGAGTTCAATAAGCGGCATTTCGCAACTCGGGTGGTGGCACAGAGGGCATTGACAAGGTTGAAGGACATGTGGAAGATAATTCAAGGAGTGATGTGGAGACCTGATAAGCATAGGTTGCCAAGGATTATCCTTGTGTGCTGCATTCTTCATAATATTGTTATTGACATGGAAGATGAGGTGCTGGATGAGCTGCCTTTGTCTCACCACCATGATGTAAATTATCCGCCGGAGATTTGCGAATCTTTCGACAAGACTGCTTTCGTTTTGAGGGATAAACTGTCTCTCTACCTGGCTGGAAGGCTGCCGGTTTGACTATTATAAAGTTCGAAGAGCTTGAGACAGGATATTGCGGAAAAGAAATTTAAGATGAAAGTCAGCTATACAGAGTTACAGACTTGATTCTAGACTGTAAATAAGTTGGATAAGATGGTTCTTTGCTAGGCATTGCCAGTTAGTTTGTAGCGTAAAGGCTCAGAGAGTGAGAGATTGATTATACATCAAAAATTGAATTTCTTTTGAGAATTCTGAGGCTTGTTTTTATAATTGCTAGAGAGATTTGGACCAATCTAGTTATAATTCATTTGAACATTTTGAGTCTCTTCTTGTTTGTGAACTTTCTTGTACATTTTTGTGGCGTTTTATGTGCGCGGGAGGAAATATTTCACAATGGTCCCTGACCCCTTTAAAGCTTTTTCAGAAATAGATTACATGCAGGTGAAGAAGGCCACGGAAAGGAAGCTACTACTGTGCTTCATTCTCGGGCTTTTCGGGATTTGAATACGATGCAGGTGGAAGGCTATAGGAGGCTAGGGAAGCTGAGATCTCTCAGGTGTGTTGAAATTTTACATTCTTTGCAATCATCCACCTACTAGTTGAAAGTAATGGATGTGCTTATAGTTTGAAAGTAATGGATGTGCTTATAGTTTGATATTTTGATTCAAAAAGCTCACATTGTGTTGAGTTGATCACACTTCTTGCAGACTGCGATGAGCTTTTTGGTTGCATAAATAGACAATATGAAAACTATCCACACCCAATAAACTGAACATGTCAATAGACAAAATAAAAAACAATCCATATACATTTAAAATTAAATGTGTTAGATTAAAATGGAAATATCCAAAAACATAAATGCTTACAACTTTATGAATATTATTACATGATTTATTTGTTCAATTGTAAAATTTCAAAATCGTCAAATGTTTGCACCATCCAGGGAGGCTCTGTAACAGCTGCCAATGAACACCACAACCACTGCTACTCATGCTTCTTCGTTTTCTTCTTTTTGTATACCTGAGAATTAATTAAGTTAATTTCATTAATTATCAATTTTGTCAGAAGACAATTAAACAAGTAGATTACTACAAAATATACATTAAAAAAAAAAAAAAGGTTTTTAGCACTCTACCAGGTTGCAGAAGTTGAATTGGAGATGCTTGTGTTTCATCATCGACCTAATAGGAGGCCCCAACACCGGAATGCCGCCGCACAAAACGAAGGCAAAAAATTGAGCATGCCACGAGAAAGACGACATCAAGGCAACGGTGAAAGTCACCATCCAAATGCACCTAAAAAGGTGAAAGGTTAAGACTCATCTCCAAGAATTCGGAAAACATAAAACTATTTTCAGATAATTGAGTTTTCAGAAAGTATATATATATATACACCAACCAGAAGGTACACTCTGGGAGTTTGGGAATGAAGGGCTTGAACTCGTCGGAGGAATACACCGGAAGAGAATCCTTGGAATGGAGCGCTCCATTTGGCCGCAGAAGTACTGGTGCAAACGGAAACAACGAATATATGGGAACGAGAAGGTTAGTAGTAGAAATTCCACCAACATAAATGGCCTGAAACATGTAAACCGATGCCAAAGCTAATGCCACAATCCATCGCTGCTTTCTGTTTTTCGTTATTTTATCCCACCACCATCGCTTAAGACCGCCACAATAACCAGGCACTGCCGACCTTGCTAAAGAAACAGTGTACCTATATATATATATATATGAAAAAACCAAACAGAATAAAATTAGTTGTGGTTATTGAATTGAAATTAAGGGCAATTCAACCCATAAGCCTCAATTAACATACAAAAAAAAAAAAAAAAAAAAAAAAAAAAAAAAAAAAAAAAAAAAAAACCCAACTAGCAGCAGCACTGTCGTGATGAGGTGCATTAAGGAGAATAGTAACGTTAGTAACTTGTTGTTCCCTGTTGCATATATAATTTATGTATCCATTCACGAAAGAAACAAACATTAGGTTAATTTATTGAAGTGAAAATTTGAAAGGGCAATTCAATCCACAAACAAGAAGATGAAGAACAATAAGTAATAAAATTTAAATAATTACATTAATAAGCCGATATCGATTAAACAATCTCAGGTTATGCGAGCCCCTTAATTTCGTTGCCGCCGATCGAAAGACGAAAATTAAGTAAAAAGAAGGAAAGAGATGGAAGAGTTACTAGTGGATGCGTCCATATTTGAACTATTCTACTTTCCTAGACTATTCTACTTTCCTAATTTACTTAGGATATGTGAGTTTCTTATCAGTCAAGCAAGAATGAAAATTAATAATAATAAAAAAATAAGTTGAGATGAAATAAATATCTAATTATTTTTTATTTATTTCTTCTTATTTTTTAACACGTGTTAAGATGAAATTTCATTTTAATTTCGTGACCATACTTATTTTTGAGCCGTTTAACCAGAGCGCTAAAGATGTGAATTGCTAAGACCCATTAAATAAATAAAACTACTTATTTTGGCTTTCGTTTTCACGGGAAAAAAAACATAAATTTTTATTTATGCCTTCATTTAAATAAAATCAGGAATTAAATAAAAAATCTCAATAAAGTTGATAATTTCTTTTTAAACATAAATGATATGTAAACTAAAAAAATCTTCCCTCTTCTATCTCATATTTTTTCCCCTCCAATTTTCATTTGTTTTTTTGCTCCAGTAATAGCTGAGCAAACGAGTTATTTCACGTCATCCAACAAAAACAAAAAAAAAACCCCTTGTACCAAAAGATCGTCATGGTAATTCCAAAGTGCCCATCAACTAAAGAGAAAAAGTCGTTATTGCCACCAAATTATAAAATAAAATAATCTTATTCGTATGGACAAAAATACCCTTTTTATTATTAAAAAGTACTAGAAATTGAGGAACAATAGGAAATTTTGACAAATACAGATATTTTATCATTTTTAACAAATAAAATAATTGAGGTAAAAGGGTAAAATCACTAAAGAGTTAACCTACAATGATCAAAGAAAAAAATAAAAAATTTAGCCGGTATATATTATACAATGGTTGGTGGAAACTATGGGTAACAATTCGTGTTCATGAATCATGTTCGTGTCGATATAAGGGTATTATACTAAATAGGTAAATTCAAATCCAACTCATTTAATAATCGTGTTAAAAATTCTCTACATTAGTCCAACCCGTTTATTAAACAGGTAAACGTGTTAACCCGTTTAATGACGTGTTTATCAAAACGAGACATTTAATATTTAATCAAATACTAAATAATAGAAAAAATTGTCATAATTAATCAAAATATTCAAAATAAAAAGAAAAATCATAAGTTATAGGCAAGGTTTATATTAAAATGACTTAACTATCCATAATAATTGAGTTTAAACAGGTAACATATTACATAGGTCATATTCATAATTATAACATGTTGAGTTAAATGGGTCATAACAGGTTGTACGGATTGAACCCCTCAACCCTAACTCGACACGGTTAAGTAAATGGGTTAATCGTATCGATCATTTTATGGCCCAAATTCGTTTATGTCAAACCCAAACCCTTTTAACTCGTGTCGTGTCGTAATTTGCCACCCCTGGTGAAAACATAGTACAGGTATTAGTGCAGAGTCAGAACCGTGGTCAGCCACTGCAATGCAATTCTCCCCTCAATTTGCTCCTGCTAATCATCATGAACTGCAAACATATTACTCTAACATTGGATCAGTAACGCGTGCTCGCTCCGCTAAGCCATGCAAATGAATTATTTCAGCTTTTGATTTATAGAACCTGTAGAGGCAGGCAACAATCCATCCTCCTGCATTAAGAGCATACTCATGAGTAGTAATAAATTTATCACTACATTATAGAATATGTGTGAATAATGTCATTTCTTGACATCCTAATGATAATTAATTGGATGATAAAAACAGATAGACCGTGTTATGAATGTGTGAATAAGCAACTGATTCACTGCGAATGCCATTGGACTAGACGGTCTCTGATAGACTATGTTCATGAATCATGACTACATTGATGTATTTTTGCTGCTCAAATTTGTCTAAAACTTAACTAGGAGATGGATAGAGAATATCATTTCTATGTGGACAATTTTTAATCTACAAGAAAACGAAAGTATGGACCAAAGGCTACAATAAATGAAAACAGTGAACATTATATCTAGAAACTGAGTTTGGCCGCAACAAAATGAAAATACCTTTAATTATCCAGAATCTGGCACATTATACTGATCGTAGATAGAATTTCACATAAAATGCTCATGGACCCGAAACCAGATTCTGCACCCAGAAAGGGAAGATAGTTATAAGCAAAAAGGTTTGTTGCATTTGATATATGCAAGTCCATCACCAGTCACCACCACAACCAGAGGAGGAGAGAAGATGAAAGAAAATGCTATATACTGACCATCAAAACCTCACAGAAGAAAAGGTGGAGACCTTGAGATAATTTCTAGGTTAATAATAATCATCTGAATCATAATCAAAACCATCATCGTCATCCTCAAACCAGTCTTCTTCTTTATGTTCATAATCCACTATGTATTCCTCGTCCCACAATTGGCAGGAACATGTGGCCTTCTTCTCCTTCCACTCAGCTCAGCAGTCATAGCATAATTCGTACCCACATCTGCAAGAACAACCCGAGAATGAAACACAATTGTTTTCACAACGGATAAAAAAATTATAAGCAAGATATATATATACATTTTTTAGTTGGTACTCACACACACATGCCTCCACTGAAACTTGAACCCCTGACCTCCCTTTGGAAAATAGGAGCCTAATACCGCAGGCCACTGCCCTGTTGATATTATAAGCAAGATATTACTTACCAAATATTCTTATTACCATTATTTTCATTCTGAACCTATCAAATATATATATATATATATATATATATATATATATATATATATATATATATTCATTCTGAAGTTACAAAAGGCATTTTAACAAATGATGGACATATATATGGGAGTAAGAGCAACATTGTGCCAAGGTATAAGTGAATCCTTGCACAAACTTTTCTTGGCTCCCAAACCAAGCCTAGAAAAGAATATATATATATATATATATATATATATATATATATATATATAATTTTAACCAGCTTACCGCTAAATGTAGAAAATTTCCTCAGGTCTGTTAAATTTTCTTATTATGGCACATAAAATGTAAAAACTAGGAAAACCACTCTGCTTTTTACTGAAATATTCACATTGATTAAGGTAATGAATAATTACCACATTGTTTCACATAAATCAGGAACTTATATTTGAAAAAGAAAGAGATGATAATGAAAAAGAAAGGAAAAGGGAAGTCCCCAACTTTCTAATTGTGTAAAATGAGAAACATGGAGCAAATGAGCCAAACATTTGAAGACAGTAGAATCTATGCTTTCTAATTATGTAAAAAAGAAGCATGACACTAATATCAGCATGGTCAGAAAAAATAAGCTGCAATGTAAATTCTAATTTGACTGCAGCTGTGCCTTAAAATTGAAACAATGTAAACCGTTTTAAACTACAAATGTTAAACATCTAAAGAATCATTCAACATCTAACATTTGGACTTTATTATTATTATTATTATTATTATTATTATTTTTGGTTACTTATCAAAAAAATAAATAAATAAAATAAAATTATTATTATTTTTGGTTCCTTTTCATGAACAAGCATTCAAGATCATCCATAAGACTACATTAACAAGGCAGCAAAGATGAGTAAATTAGGATACGTTAGCTAAGCACCTGCAAGTCATGTGGTAGCACCCTGTCTCAAGTTCAATCATTTGGTTGCACCTTTCACACTGACGCCATAAATTCCTTGCGGCGAGAGTCATTAACTTTGATTCTTCTGGCAGGTCATGTTACTTTGCCAATGAATCTTACAATAGATACAGAAGTCAGCCTGACAATTTGTGCATTTCCTGACTCCATTTCTAACGCTGCCAAATGCTTTTTTAGAATATTCAAAAACTTCATTTTTCGACATCAATGCTGAGCACTTGGGATATGGCAATAAACTTTCTCGGTAACAGGAATTGAAGCTTCCCTGATGCGTTGGCTCATAATCTGAATCAATTTAGGTGTCAAAAATTTTTTACAGCTATCAATTTTGAGTTCAGAAATACACCCTTCCTCAGGGCATTTAGGCAACATCCTGCGAAGCAACTTCATTTCCACATGCTGCTTCATGCAAGAAAAGCAAAAGCAGTGCATGCAACCATCAACTGCAAACATCTGCCCAGCATCCGTGTCTTTTAAACAGATGACACAAGTATTGCACAAATTCTTGACACTACTAGCTTCTGCAGATCTGAACATGCTAACAATCTGCATTTTAGGTAGTGGAAGATCGCAACACAACACAATTACTTTAGAAAGCTGTGATAAATGGCACTGAACAGAAAACACAAGTTTCTTAAACATTGTAAATGCTGCAAGGGAACTCCAGAAACTTATCCTACTTTTCCATGAAAGAAGAACAAAATTCTAACTATTGGACATTTGCAGCAAATAAAGCTGACAGAATTAGGCAATTAATGGTTGTGATGAAGGAATATAGTTCATCCATCACCCGAAACAAATAGAGTAATAAATAAATAAATATACGAAATGGAGAAGAAAAAGCAAAGAAGGAATTAAGAGTGAAATTAAATTTTGACCGTATCGGCTTGCAGAAGTTGAATGGGAGATATTTGTATTTCATCATTGACCTGAAAGGACGCACCAAGACACTTGTGCCCCACAAAATTAAGGAAAAAAGTTGAGCATACCACAGCATATCATCTATCCCTTTCAACTTGTTGGAAAAGACAAAACACAAGGCAATGCTGAAAGCCACCATCCAATTGCCCCTGAAAACATGGTATCACAGAAAAGAAGGTTAGTAAGACTGAATTGAAAATGTTGAGTAATATCCCATCTATTAAAAACATGATGGAGCAAGTTAATATTGATAGAGAAAGATAATGGCTTTAATTAAATGACACAATCAATAATGAATATCAATTTCATATTTCAAAGAAAATTACATAATGGAATTTATGATAGTTTCATAATTTAACCATAACGTGCCATAGCTTAAATTTTGTTCAAAAAATAAAGATGGAGATTGTGCAGCAGCTGATTAATGAGCTCTGCTTTTTTATTACTGGTGATCAGAACCCGAATCTTAATTTAACCACCCTCTCTTAATTTTTGTCAAAACTTTTTCTCGGGTTACTACGTTTACTATTCCAAATGAATGGTAAAAAAGTTCAAATACAAATGGTTATAGCCCAAATTGGTATGATCTCTCTCTTCAAAGGAGAAGTTAAGTATTAGGAGTAATATTATTTGTTTGCGTGCATTTGCTTAGACTTTGTAAGAACCAAAAAAGCAAAAACAAAAAAGGTTTCAGAGAGTATTTCTGTTTTATACATTTATATATAAATCCACCATTCAAAAATTTTAAGCAGAACTTAAAATGCTAAAGAATCAAACCTCATGGTTGATATATATGTATATATATACTAACCAGAAAGAATACTCTGGGAGTTGGCGAATGAAGGGCTTGAATTCATCTTCGGAATATAGGGGAAGAGAGTGGATATCAAAGCCTCCCATTGGTGATAGAAATATTGTAAGCCGATGCAACAAATACAAGGCAAGGAAAAGATTAGTAATAGAAATTCCAGTAACATAAATGGCCCAAACACGTAAATTGCTGCCAGAGCAAATGCCACAATCCATCGAAGCACTGTATATATGATTATTTTATCAGCCACAATAACCAGCCACTGCCAACCTTGCTGAAGAAACAGTGTACCTGTACATGTATGTATACATGAAGAAACAAAACAAAAAATTAATTCTGCTTATTGAATTGAAATCAAGGACAATCCAGTCCATAATAAACAACAATAACATACATGAACAACCACAACAAATAATAAAATATAATACTTCATAGAAATACATCTCAAAATTAAACCACGCCAATTAATTAAAAAAAAAAACCGTCCTTAAGTCCATCCACGGGAATCGAACAAAATTAGTTGTGTTCATTGAATTGAAAGGGCAAGCCAATCCATAGGCAACAACATGAAAAACAAGAAATAATAAATATAATTATTCATAGAAGTACAACTCAAAACCACAACTGTTAAGCATTATCAATGGGTTGATTATTAAAATAAAATAAAAAAGGTTGCTTTTTTCCGAAAAAGAAAGAATCAGAAAAAAAGAAAAAGAAAAGAAAAAACCTTGCAAAAGGAGCACTGTTCTCATGAGGTCCATTCACGAGAATGATGAAGTTGCTAATTTCTTCCCTGTTGTTGCATACATATATATATTTCCATCCACAAAGAAACAAATATTAGGTTAATTTATTGAATTGAAAGGGAAATTAAATCCACAGACAAGAAGATGAAGAATAATAACAACTAATAAAATGTAAATAATACTTACATTAATCACATTAATACAATCTCAGTTATCCAAACCCCTTTCCGGCCGATCGAAAGAGGAAAATTAAGAAAAAAGAAGGAAACAGAACAATGTTATTTACACCTAAAATTCTACTAAAAGAAAAACAAGCCGGAGCGGGGCTTTTTTATTCGGATCTAGCCGTGGATAAGTTTTTTTTTTTTAAAAAAAAGAAGTTAAAGCAATCACACACATTTGAACTCTGACTTTTAAAAAAAAAAAACAGGAAGGGTGATACCGCCAGGTCAATTGGTCCTTTAGTGCCGTGTGGATAAGCTTCCTCTAACATTTTCTTCACCTAAATTTGCATTTGTAGTAATATCGGGTCGAGCCAGCCTAGCCCGTCTGGACCCGAGCACCTCCCGGGTGGGTTGCCCAAGTGGGTGCTTGACCTTATATCAGATCAATAGCAACCAGCTTCATCCAAAATTTTATATTAATAGGTAGTATTAACACCCTGTTTATAAATTCATATGCCCTGTTATTTTTTCGTCTAAGACTTATCCACTTCATCTGGAAAAAAAAAATTCGTAGATTAGTTTAACCTTTTGGCACATTTTTTGAATGATACTCCTTGTTAATAAAATTTTTTTAAAAATGACTGACTTACTATTTTCTTGTGTTAAAATACCTCAATAATTTTATATTTTGACATAAATTGATAAAAATACTATACAATACCATTGAAATGTAAAATATTAATTTTCATATTATTGAATTTCACAAAAATAATATATATTTTGATTTAGAGTTTCATTTTCACCCCTATAAATTAGGCTTTCATTTAAGATTTGGGCTTTGTTTGATCTGTGAATTTAACGTGAGAAAGAAAAGGAACAAAAATCAATTTCCTCTTTTTTTTCTTGTTTAAATAAAATGAGGAATTAAAATTTTTCTCAATAAATTTGATAAAAATAAAATTAAAAAATGAAATGTAAACTACAAGAATTTCTTCTCTCTTTATCTCATATTTTTTCCTCTCCCTTTTTCATTTGTTTTATTCTCACTGAATCCACTATCAAACAAGAGCTTTACAAAGCTAGTGGTCCTCCTCCAGTAATGAAACTGAACAAGCGAGTTATTACCGGTCAGGAAAAATATAAACACATACACACAAAACCAAAAGATCGTCATGGTAATATTTAAACTTAAGCAGATGCCAACAGCTTCACTACAACGATCAAAGAAAAAGAAAAGGAAGCAATATATACACTGGTTGGTGTAACCATAGTTGACAACAAACTCCAAAACTGCACAGTATCACTACAATGCATTTCTTTCCCCAATGTGCTCTCCTGCTAATCATCATGAACTGCAAACAAATTTTGCAAAATGGGATCAGTAACGTGTGCTCGCAACACTAAGCCGTGTAAATGAATTGTTTCAGCTTTTGATTTAAGACTATACCTCAAGAGGAATAAATTCATCACTAAATTACAGAAAATGTGTAAACAATGCCATTTCTTTACATCCTAATGTGTATACCAAAAACGGATTCATCATGTTACGAGTCAGTGAATATGCAAGCGACTCATAACGAATTTCATTGGACTGCATTGATTTTTTTTGTCCCTGCTCAAATTTATCAAAACTTAACTTGGAGATGAATACTAAGAAGCATCGTTAAAGAAACCGAGTTTTGGCAGAAGCAATGAATGAGAACAACCAAACCGAGTTTTGGCAGCAGCAAAATGAAAGTACCATAATTATCCAAAATCTGGCACATTATAGTTTCCGTCATTGATGGATGATATAAATCTTTTGGTCCATTGTTGCTTTACAGAATCTGGTACCATCGATTCACCCATGAAAGGACTCCATGTATCCCCTTCGGGACCAGTAAGAACCCAATTGATTTTTACTGGTGGGTCAGCAGAATTAAGTATTGAAGTCTTCAGCTTCTCTCTAGAAATTTTTTTCTTCTGCCAACCAGATTTCTATCAAGGCAAAATATGCAACGGAATTAAATACGGTCAACAATAGGGCAAGAAGCTACTTGTTTTATCTTCAACTGAAAAATAAGATGATTCTCGAACGCACCTGAACATGATTAACCAATTTAAATGCCTCGCAGAGGGGTGCATTATCATCGAACTCTGTTAGGTATCTCTCAACAGATACCAGGGATCGGAACTTTCGTCCGGTCCCAGGCTCGTAGTAATACTGCACAATAAGATGAAAGTTTCGAACTTTTGTCTTGCAGTCAACAATTTAATGAAAGACATACATAACAATGCCTCATTCCACAAGAGAAGGAAGCAGAAAATGAAAAGAGACCCATCTATTCAGATATCAAAGCGTGTACTTGCTTATACAAAACGGACAGGAGAATAAATGTAAAGAAACTCAAACCTAAGACCTTTCAAACCAAGATTATATAAATACTATTATGTTAGACAACCAGTGGCCTCAAAAGCTTTTGATATATATTATAATATGTATCAACCTTTTGCACCGTCCCTCTTGCTCATGGAAAGACAAACATGACAGAGTGTAAATAGACAAAGATAATGAGGGGAAAATGCTATTAGAGGGATGAACCAGTCTTTAATAATCAAAGCTCTTATAAAATATTAACGATCAACATGTTCGTCCCAACTCACAAATCAACGCATCCGTCACAGGCTCCCCCCGCCAAACCCTTGCGTCTGCAAGGGACCCACACAATAATTCCCCTGAACTACATTGTAGTATTCTGGGGCCGATGACTCTGCAAGTCATGGGACCAGTTCCACACCCTAAAGGACTAATCACACCAAAAAGAAAAGAACAAAATAGCAACTAAATTAATTCCACACATGACCATGCATACAGTGACAAATCAAACATATTTATCCAGTAAGATTATATATCTAAACCATTTTATTTGATAAAGCTCACTATTAAAACCTTAGTCTTTAGAATTAGAAGAAAAGAGTAGGGGCAGAAAATCTAGTTCTAGCATTTGTGCACAAATTGGTTTACCAAAACCCCTAAGATGTAGAGAGAACTTGAGTGATTGATAAGGGACAGTACCTTGTCGGTGTATCTTCTGTCTTTGCGTGGTATCGCCTCCACTATCCAACCTTCAGGAAGTTCGAAGTCTGGGCTAGCAGTGGAACTGGTGGAGGCCACAAATGCTAATTGAAGTTGATTGGCTTCCTCCTCATCTAGCTGCAACATCTGAATGGCATCAGCATCAATGGTGAGGATCAGACAGCCATGCTTGGGTTTTTTTTTTCTTTTCTTTTTTTCTTTTTTTCTTTTTTTTTTTCCTAGTTGGTACTCACACACACGTCTCTTCTAAGACTTGAACCCTTGACCTCCCTTTGGGAGGTAAGAGGCTGATACTACTAGGCCACTGCCCGTTGGTAACTGCCATGCTATGCTTGGGTTTATTGTATGTTATAACTGTCACATACTTGTGATGTTTCCAAATCTCATTTCTACCCTATATCCGCAGCTAATTGAAACCAATATTCTCTCTCCATGTAACAAAGGATATGCCACGTAATGTCATTAAATTTACCGTCATAAAGAAGAAACTCACCAAATATTCACAAAAATCATATAAATGGACCCTAAAATGTATTGAGTTAAAAACTAAATGAAAATGTTTAATGGTAAATTCAAAAAAGCAAAAAGAAAGAAAGAACTTATAGTTCTTTTTCAGCATTCTACAAGTATGACCAAATTATAGCAAAAAAATAATTACAAAGTTGAATAACCAATTTGAGTCAAAAATCAGGGTGTTCAATATTTCAAAATTCAAAAAATCATGAATGCCAGCCAGTTTTAGCTTTACAGATACTTGAATCCTTGATTCACACTAATGAAAAAGCTACATTTATCTCTTGCAGAAGCAGGATAAGGACCTTCCCCTAACTGGTTGTTTGGCAACATCAAAGGCTGAAATCTTTACCTTTCCTCCGGAAACGACCATCTTCCGTGTACCAGAATTCTGTGAAGGGCAAAAGGAGGATTCACACTTAAATATTGTCAAGGTAAACAGAGTGAAGCTACTTGTCCAAACTTCAGCTGAAAAGTAAGTCAACTCTTGAGCTCACCTTAAAACAATTACCCAGTTTCAATGCCTTAAGTCTGGGTGTATATACTTCACCTGTTAGGTGTCTCTCAACAGCTCTCAGTGATCGGAACTTCTGTCCACTCTCTGGTTCATAGTAGTACTGCACAATAAGATAACGATTCACTAGTTTCTGACTTGCAGCATATAATCTAACAAAATAGCATCCAGAGAAAATAATCTTAACTCCAACCTTAAGACCAATGCTTATATTAATAAACAAACTACCCAAAGTAGCAAGCCAGAACAATTATTATAGAGTGGCATCTATGTAATCAAATCACCATTATATCTGTATCAATCACTATTTAATTTAGAATGCATCAGAATGCGCCTAAAGAAGCTGTTATTATAATTATACGAAACATCCACCAAGAAATAATAAAAAATAAAAAATAAAAACTGTCTGATGCCATAGAAGCCTAGTTTAGGAAGTTCTTAAAAGAAAATTATACTATCCAATCCTCACCCCAATTATATGGAACCAGCAGTTCTTGAAAATAATGTTTGGAATTTCAGAAATTAGATCAGTTTATTATTTTTACCTGAAATAGAAAAGTTAAATTACCAACAGGCCAGTGGCCTAGTGGTACCAGGCCACTACTTCCCAAAGGGAGGTCAGGAGTTCGACCCTCAGTGGAGGCATGTGTGTGAGTACCAACTAAGAAAAAAAAAAAAAAAGGTTCATTACTTATTTTGCCTATAAATCATGGACTTTCTGATACAAAAAATATTAGAATGTCTAGGTTACAAAATTCGAATTCAACACTGCCCTTAATGAGTCAAAAACTAAAAGCAAAGTTATATGTTTTAGAGACAGCTAATTGTCTAAAACACAATATCATGCCTTATAGAGGGAGAACAAATAAAATTTGCACTGTTACTTTTAACTCTATGATGATTAAATACCTGCAAAGTTTATATATAAGCATTTCACAGGATGGAAAAAAGAATTAATCATGCTAAAAATATTCATTTCATAACAATGATTAATAGTTTCAAATTCAAAACATTGGCATATAGTATTACTAGGTTCAACATTCCCAATAGATTCATAAAAAAATTATCTTGTCACTGCTCTTAGCATAATTGAGAGTGATTTCACCAGCTTGCATATACCTAATTCCTCTTGGGAAAAAAAATTTTAAAGAGGAAATCACTTCAAACAGAAGTGAAATTGGGCTTTAAGTGTAATAATCAATAGCTGTAGAAAAGAAATAAAATAAAATAAAATAAACTTTGCAAACAATTGGTTAAAAAAAAAAAAAAAACTGGCAGATGAAAATCTCATTCCAAAATCCAAACAACATTGGATACATTCAAATCAAAAACCTTGACAGCTACAGAACCATCCAGGTTCAACATCTACAATAGATTGACGGAAAATTTAATTTCCTATTTTTCATTTTCTACCCCAACCCACCAGACATCTCAATTTCATATATATTTGGGTTTTGCTTTAATTGCCACTCCTTCATCTTCATGTATAATATTTAATCAAATTTGTTTCATTTCAATCCAAACAACCCAATGCCTCTGTTGCAATAGAAACTAGTTCTCCTTGAAAATTTTCCTGGAAAAAATAGCTACATTCTTTTAAGCCTTCTTTTCACTTCGAATACATTAATTATCAAAAAGCTTGAGTTAGGTTCCAAACAAAAAAATATATATACACAAATGAATCACTTTACAACCAAAATTTACGGAATTTAAAGAAATAATTCCATAATTCAATATATAATTAAACGAAAAACACTAGCTATAGGTTTTATGCATGTAGTCTACCGTCATAATCGCTAGAAATTTCAGAGCATCTCAGTCGGAAATCTCAGTCAAAACCCTAAAATTTCAAAATTACAAGCAATAGTAAAGGACAGGAACTTAATTAATCTATATGAAGGCCAAAAAAAAATATTCATAATAATCTATATGCATGTGTGTACACATATATATATATATATATATATATTGAAAGAGAGGGAGAGAGTGGGAGTGAATGCAGAAAGTTTATTTACAGTGAACCTTGTCGATTCGGGAAGCGTCGGAACGGGGTGATTCTTGCACAACCCAGTCATCGGGGAGCTTGAAGCGTGAGGTACTGGAGGTGGTAGTGGGCACAAGCGCCAGCTGACGGTGGTCGGGAGAGACTTCGCCGCCGTATCCATGTATCAACATTCGCAGTGGAACCAGCAGTGACAAATCCTCCTCCATGGTTGGGCTTTCGTTGAGAGAGTGTGAGGGGTGACATTGACAGACCGACAACACTAGTTTTCAGTTCACAACTCACCTTTATCAAAACCACCAAAAGTTGGATCCACCTGTCACCACCCCAATTTTCCTTTAGCCAAATGGAGGATTTAGATATATACTAATTCTCTTTCAATTTGATACACATCCAATTTAGAGACTCAAATTTTATTTTTTATTTTTAGTTTGGTATTCTGATAAAGAAATTTATACATCCATATGCACCACTCAAATCCTCACCTCTCACATTGATACATAGAGGAAATACAACTTAAGTTACACGTGACCCATTTAAATCACATTATTTCATTCATGAGTGTAGTGTAAAAGAATAAAAAAATTAATAGTATGAAAAATGAGTAAACAATTATTTTTGTTTTTAAAAAATGACATGTCCCTAAACATTGATAGCGACTGATAAACTATCATGTGATTAAAAAGTTCTCTTTACTACCGTAGACATGAAAAAATTGTATGGTGTCAAGTTATGATTTGGGCCTACTTACACTTTTGCCCGCCATAAAACATGGGCAAAAGGTTTAGACCAAATTGCCTACCAAACACAACCCAATTTGAATGTGGGTCAAATTAAACTACCCCAACACACTTCAAATATGGGTTAAAGGATAATTGTCTTTCAAAATAATTATATATAATTATATCGATGGATAATTAAAGTGATAATTATAAAAAGCAACATAAATTACAATTTTACCCTCCATTGAGTTTATAAACAGAGGTAGAAGGGTAAAGAAGGGGGGAGACTAGAAAGGTGAAAGCATCGAACCCCTGCCAAAATCATTTCCTCTCTCAACGTTCAAGCAACAAAGAGAGAGATTCAGAGAGAGTAGCTAGAAGAATAAGAATACAATCGTGCCGTTCTAACCATACAATCGTGCCGTTCTAATGGACACTAGATTCATCCACAACATCCAAAGCTTACAGAAGAAGAATAATAAGCACATCGACATTATATTGTTCTTCGTCAACGATTCAATAAATTCGAAGAATCATTAACGAAACTATTCGAAATCAAAGCGTCTTTAGCCCTCTATCAGAAATTCTTTTCAGTTCTCTTTAAAAACTAATACTTGAATAAGACCTTAAACAACCAAATTCAAGATCAAATCTCGAACAGCCCTTGGATCCGAACCGCAAAGAAGATCGAGGATAGACTCTTTTTATTGTAAAGATATTTATAGAGGATTGTACTCATTAATTTTTATAAATTAATAATAATTATTTGTTCCACATTTTAATCTTATTTTTTAGATACAAAATTTGCGTATACAAATACCAACACTACCCTTTTGGACTTCCCAAAATGCCCCTCATTCATTTCTCCCTCATTTCTATATATAATACCCCAATTTCATTATTTTTCTCTCTATAACTACTCTATTTATATTTTCTTTTTTCTTTTTTTTTTTGTCTCTCTAAGTAATTTGTGTTTGTATATGTTTTTTTCTAATCATATTTCTCTCATTCTCCCACGTAAATAAATTATATTTCTTTATTACTACTAATAATAAATAATTAATTAATTAAATTTGTCTTTCTTCAAAAATTCTACTTATATCTTAGTATATATTTATATCTCAGTTGTGTATATATACAATAATATTTTTTTTATAGAAATAATAATATTTTCTACAACATAAAAGTTATTTACATACTATGTTAGTAATTTATTTTCCTATATTCATGATCAAATAATTAAATATTAATTCACTAAAAAAAGAATAAAATATATTAAATATCAATAAGACGAATATATATACACCTAAATGCCTATACCTATTATGTATTATTTTAGGAATGAAATCTTTGGTCAAGCATTAAGACTCTGTCATCAGTATAAAAGAGAATAATTTAAATTTTATTTATATTTCTATTCAGTAATTGTTCATAGGAATATGATTTGATACTTGACTTTATATATATATATTACATTATATTTCATTTGATTTTTAAGAAAAAGATAATAATATAAATTATTTATTCGATTTAAAGATATATATTTATTTTACATTATATATTTTTTTATTTATTAATTTTTTACATTATATTTCATTTGATTTTACTCTCTGATTTTGTGTAAGCCCTCTTAAGTAATTTCATCTTCTACTCATCTTTTATTATTTTTGTAAAAAGAATTTTGAGAGATTTTTTCGTATTTTTGCCTATATCACTTTATTTAACTAATAATAAGCCTTTATTTGCTCTTTTCAAAACATAGGGGTGAGATTTGAATTTGCACACTTTTCAATTACACGAGTTTTTTTTTTAACTTCACGCACCTTTATTCACGTGATAATTTTACAATTGTGTCACAAAAATCTTATCTCACATTGGATCATGTTAGGTAGGAGGGTATTCTTGGATTTAAAAATTAAGTAAATAGTATCGATTACCTAATAACTTAAAATTTTGAGTGAGTTATAACTGTAGAATCCATTATAATATCAGGCTAATCCCTTATTCTTCCCCATGCCAGAGGTATGCGGCTGGTGTCTCAATTGTTGATAGACCTGAAGTAAGTATCGATATATTCTTAAGAAGAGTAGTTATTAAATGGGTAAATTTTACTTATTTCCCTCTTAATTTCATAATTTTAGTTACTCCTCTAAGATTGTGATTCATGTAACAGATTTTCATATAGTTAGATTACTTAACGAAAACTAATAGTTAGATTACTTAACGAAAACTAATAAAATCAGTTAATGTCTGCAGTAAAAAACGAATAGAATGTTAATTTTGTCCTTCTAATATTTGAAATGACAACAAATATTTTATAAACAAAACTAATACATTACAGTTATCAAATTGGACGGTTGTTACTGACAGAGAGAGATATGTGAAATTATAAATTTAAAAGAAAGTTTATATAAAATATTGACAAACCTAAAAAAACTGGTAAGTAAAATTTATCTTTATTAAATTATAAGAAAGGCTTTACTCTCGTTCCAAGGCTTGACCTTAGAACAAAAGTACACGAGAAAAGTTCAGGAAATATGTGATATAAAGAAATGGAAACGTTTTGGAGACTTTCTTAAATTTTTCTAAGCGCATTCACATTGTCTCCCCAAGAGAATCTAGAAGTTTATCTCGCTTCAAAAACAATAATGCTTTTCTCACCAAATTAAAAACATACTTTCCAACTAACTAAATTTGGAATCCTAGTGTATAATTTTCCTAGAGCTTGAATAGTTGTAGTCAATCTCGTGTTTAAGCTTGCGCAGCTCTAAACTGAATTTGACTAGTACCCCGGAGATAGGAAATCAATCACATGGAATATATTGACCTGCGGGCGGCTTCAACCTTGGTGCCAAACACATCTAAATATTAGATATTTGTGTGTGTGGTAGATTAGTAAACAAATTTTCCACCTACCAATAATTTAAAAGCTCATACTATTGGTCTAACAAATTAATTACGTGAGAATTAAGAATATAAAATGTGTCAACTCTCTAATTAGCATGATATCAGGGCTGACGTGTTTATATTTGGTCTGACGGTTGCAGTTGCGTTATGTAAGGTTTGAGAGTGGGGAAGAAGAAAAGGCTACATTAGTCAGTACTTTCTCAAAATTGACTTACAATTGAGGTTCAAGAAAAGGTCCAGCACATGTGTTAGGGTATAATATATAGTATACATTATTATAATTTCAACAAAAACATATATATTGTTGTGTTCAAACTTGGAAGGGTTGTTACTTGTTAAGTCTGAAAATGACACCTTTCAAAAAAAAAAAAAAGTCTGAAAATGATACCTAAGCGAACTTGTGTGAGGTTGCTATGACCACATAGATTATTATAAAATGCCAGACATGCACTAAGACCGCGACTCGGCTGCTAGACAGGATCAAAATTAACTGTTACATGCATGCATGTACTTTAATTCATAATACTTTAAGAAATTATAAGCACTGTAATAACAAGATAAAATAATAATACCACCTACAAATAAATAAATAAATTGAGTTGAGTTGAGGGTTGTTTTTGGTATACTCAGTTCAGTATTTGTGAGTTTGGTTAGTTTTAACTCACAAAAATCAGCTAAGTTCATAATTTGTATCAAATAATATTCACATCCTCATCGCGACGTGAACTAAATGAATACGTCCTTTTTAATTATAAAATTAGAAAAAGTTACAAGAATAATTATATACTCCCACCATTTCTATTATGGTAATTAAAGATATATCTCACCATTTCTGATTTAGTAATTTAAGAAGGACGCGTCAATTTGTTATTGTCTACATCAACGATGAGAATATAGTACATCCTCATTGGTGAAAACTTAAGTATTATGTGTATCATTCTTAGGGCAAATTTCTCAAAACCCCCAAAACTATTAAAAAGTGATTATAAAACTCTACCCAGTTTTAAAAACCCCCAACAATATAGAAATGTTATCATATTACCCCAACTCTGGCAATTGGCCGTTAAGGGTAGGTGAAATGACTAAATTACCCTTATTATATTCCCTTTTATTTAAAAAACCAAAAAATCATATTTTAGAAATTACAATATTATCCTTTAGCACAAAACGACCGCGTTTAGTGCCAATATAGTTAGACATCAAAACCCCGTCGTTTTATTCAAGGCAGCTGTTGTATTTTACTTAAAACGCTGTCGTTTGATTCATTGCAGCAGTCGTATATATATATTGTTATACTTGTATATTTTTGCTTAGAACCCTAATTAAAACCCTAATACACTCAGACGGCTAAGGTCTCTTGGGTGCGTTAAAGAAGAATCGTTTTGCTTAGAACCCTAAAACACTGAATACACTCAGACGGCTAGGATCTGTGTTGAGGCGTTTCATTGTTCAAACTCTTGGGTGCGTTACAGTAGAATCTGTGTTGTGCTTTTCATCTGTGGGTCTCATCTGTGGGTCTCATTCGTGGGTCAGTGAAGAAGCTAAAGAGTGGTTTATTCAAGGCTGTTGTCTTCAACTTTGGTGGACAATATGTCGACAAGTATGTCTTTATTTGATAGTTTATGACTTTTAGTTGAACAACTTTATTCATGTGGGTCTTTATCGTGTTGGGTATGATTCTAACAGGTTGGGACCATTGATTAAATTAAGGTTATTGTTTATTAGGGTTATTGTAATTTTATATTAAGGTTAATGTTAATGTATTGTAATTTTATATTAG